CAAACAGTGTCAGATCCATTCTTCAGAGTTAAAATTTAGGATTTCGTTTTCTATATTTTTACATTGGATTCTTGTAACATAGATGAAGAAGAGGGTGCTAGCATATTTGCATTGTGGAAGAAAGCTGCAAAGGCACAGAAAACAGCTTCCACATCCACACCAAATCCTCCTCCTGTAGAGGTCGAGAACCAGTCTCCTGCTGAGAGCAATCTGCAGCTAGCAATTGTGGAAGCACAGGATGATGGTGAAGCAAATGATGAAGCTCGAGCTCCTCAACCGGACACGGACAAAGTTCCCCCAACTCCAATTGTAGAAGATGATATCATTAATCAATTCTAAAAAGGGGACCAATGTTTTATAATATTTCTTAATTATTAGAAACAATGGCACTATGCCACTATATTCAGAGGTTGTACTTGGCTGGTTACTATTGCACATTTGTATCGAAATTTTTTATATACGCGTAATACCCAGCTATATGAAATCCTGCTCCGCCACTGATCCGACGCCGTAGCCGTGTCCTTGGTATCACGCGCCCTTCTCCTCTTTTCACTCGGGCGACGTGGGCCCCGCTTGGAGCGCTGCGAGCGTCCGGGTGTAGTACTACGATTTGGCACATCCCGAGTCCTCAAAGTTCAATTCTACCTGGACCATCACAGCGCATCTTGGCCCAAAACACTTCCGCGCCGCGCTACGAATATGGCTCTATTCCCACGTCCACCAGGCCGGGCCCAGTTCGGCCATGAGGACAGGAACAGCGCCGGAGGGACATCCGCCGCCACCGCGCTCCCACACGCCGTCGGCCATGTCGCAGGGGTCGGAGGCGGGCACTGCTGGGGAGGGCGACGAGGAGCAGCGGCTGCGGGCTGCGCTGCGTCACCTGCAGGCGGAGGCGGGGGTGCTGGAGCGCCTAGTGTACAAGCACCGGAACCAGCACCGCGGCGCCGCCTACTTCCAGTACCTCCTCAAGGTGAGCCCCGGCCGCTTCTCTACACCTCCTCCTGATGAAACCTCCCATCCCGCTGCGCTGAGCGAGTGGCGAGTTTCTATGCGCGCAGGTGAGGAGGGACCTGAAGCTTCTGCTCGGGGCCGGCCTCGCGGAGGTCCTCAACGCCGTGTTCCCAGTTCTCGCATGCCGCAAGCCGGCCAACACGATCCTCGTCCCCACCAAGTCGGTCTGTTATTGTTTTTACGCTTCTTACAGATTTCACTTGCTATTATCTGATTACTTGGCTTGTTCGGTTTTTCAGTTAAAGCTTTTTTTTCTTTTTCTGAATTCTGATATAGGCAGACTAAGAAGAAACCTGGTGCGAACCACAGCCATCATGAGAGGCTTTTGGGTGTTGCCCGCTTGTTATCCCAGGTGTGTTTTTGTCTTTGTTGAGCTTTGATTCGATTGGAATCTTGACATATGTAGACTCGAAGTGAGATTTCATACTTTGCCCAACTTAATATCGTATAAAATCTGAGTCAAAATTTTCTCGGTCCCGTGCAGATGTCTGAACCTGTTATGAAGGCAGCAATGTATCCTTTTTCTTTTGCTTGTTATATCATGTTTCTGTTTGGTTTCTTAGGTCACAAATAGGACTAGTTGTGCTTGTGCACTTGCACTTGGCTTACTTTAATAAACTACAAATGTCTCGCCTTGACCATTTCATTATCACCATCATAAGAAAACAAATGTATATTTCTCTTGCAATTGAGAGACGTCCAAAGTTCCTTAACCTAAATTACAGTCAGATAACATTTTTGCTTGCTAGATCATTCTTCATTGATCTTTGCACGGCTGTGTTCTCTTTGCTTGCGCGAGTAAGGGTCCTGATCCAACAGGTGAGGGTTATAATCTATAAGCATGGCTAATATTGTATCAAGAAAATTCGGTTTGAAATTGCTGACATGCGCTCTCCTAACAAGTAGTAAAGTTACCTTGGAATCACATGCTAGCTAATATTGTTACATTCTCTGTTTTCCCTACATAGCTTTTGCTGTAGACGCTGACGCTCTGGTATTTGTTTCACAGATGTTACTTGATGTTGTGTCAGTATACAATAAGGTCACCGATCTTACTGATAGGAAGCAGGCTGTTAAGATTAGCATCAGTGGAGTGCAGGTGTATTTTACTTCCACGCTAGCAATGATGTCATTTTGTATATCATGGAAAAGCCGTATTGCCTGCGACCATGTTTTCACTTTTCACACAAACTGATCTTGCTAGTAAATGTAATGATTTCGCTAAATAAATTTGCCTCTTTTTTATTTCTCTTATTCCCACAGGCTTTCAGAGAGTACTACCCCTCTATGAATGATGCATGTACAGTTCTGGAGTGTGCATGGGTAAAAGATAAATTCATTTTGCATGAAAAGGTTAAGGAGATCTGTCAGGAAACCCAAGTTGAGGATCAGAAGTGTTGTGGTCCTGAATCTCCAATCCAGTATGAAACACTTGCACTGATTAGTGAAGGTTGAAATGCTTTATCTTCTATTCTTCGCGATAAATGCATGATGACCCATTGATCTTGAATTCTTTGTTGCCTTTGTCATAATTAGTTGACATGCTCATGAATCATGGCAATACTTGGTGCTTTGTTGCTGATTTTGATTGAAAAGAAAGCACCTTAGTAGTGTTATTGCATTGCTAAGAACATAGCTCAACTTAAATATTAAGATATTTTGAATTATTTTACTATAAAATTCCCATGGTTCCCAAGCTAGCTGCCAACTACCAAGGTGGGAGTCTGGCTTTTGAGGCTAGTTCATCAATCTTTGGAAGTATGTTACATTAGAGCGTATATTAAACAACACATGGTGGCATGATTTATGGTGATATGGCAGACGTGTGTTCTGATGCTAACCTCACACAGTCTACTTGAATGATAAGCTAACATGGTTCTGACTGAAATGCACCAGGTTTTGCATATTACAGATATATATGGAGCAACATTTGATTAGTTATTTATATAATTATTATAACTTATAACTTGGTTTTAGAGTAAGTAGAACTAAAACAGAATACATGAGATGCGACTTTGGCAACGCTGCACATGAGGAGGGAGAGGTGAGTTTGGAAGGTCAAGTGGTGCCTAAGAAAGATGCCTTCCGTTATCTAGGATCAATGGTGCAGAAGGATGGAGATATTGATGCAGATGTTTGCCATAGGATGAAAGCAGGGTTGATGAAGTGGCGCCAAGCATCTGACATTCTCTGTGATAAGAGAGTACCATAAAAGGCAAGTTTTATAGAACGACAATTAGACCCGCTATGCTGTATGGAGCAGAATGTTGGCCTACAAAAAGACGACATGTCCAACAACTGAGTGTTGCTGAAATGCGTATGTTGCGCTGGATTTGTGGTCACACAAGGATGGACTGAGTTCGGAACGATGATATACGTGATCGTCTAGGGGTAGCACCAATTGAAGAAAAGCTTGTCCAACATCGGTTGATGTGGTTTAGCCATGTCTAAAGGAGACCTTCAGAGACACCAGTGCATTACGGAGTCCTAAGTCAAGATATTAATGTGAGGGGAGGTAGAGGAAGACCGAAGCTGACATGGGGGAGGCAATAAAAAGAGATTTGAGAGGTTGAGATATACCTAGAGATCTTTGTTTGGATAGGAGTGCTTGGAAAACAGCTATTGACGTGCCAGAACCGTGACTAGAGGCTGATGTTAGGTTTCAACTCTAGCTTATCCCAACTTGCTTGGGATTAAGAGGCTTTGTTGTTGTTATAACTTATAACTTGGTTAATTTGAAAGTCGGCTGTTGCTTTATGGAACAAAACAAAAGGTTTTCAGCAACAATTTTTTTTATTATGTAGAACATGACCAGTTCTATTTTTATGGTTCTATGGCCTTTAACTTCAAAAGCATTCTTTTTATTCTATTGCCCTATTTTGTGACCAATTACAGATATGAAAAGGCTAGAAGGAACGAACTCGCCAGCCAGCCAGCCAGACGCTGCTCTGGCAGAGCAACCAGATAAAATGATCCATTGCAATGATGCTGGAGATTCTCAGAGGGGGAGGCAACTAGAAAATGAAAGCGGTGCTTGTTCAGTTCCTGACACCCTTAGTACTCGCGAGCACCTGAAGCCCGAGACTAGGAAGAGAGTAGCATTTGTCGCAGTTGGAAATCCGAAAGTCACAGGTGCAGCCTCAGAAACAAAATCATCAGAGGTGAACAAGAAGCAAAGACTAGACATGATTTCTCCTTCCAACATACAATCAGGACTGTACAACAAATTGCTGGATTGTGAGACTACATAGAATTCCATACTTTAATATGTTCGCTTGTAAAGGGAACAAGCAATAGGCAGGAAAGTGCGCTTGTGCGAATGCATCTCAAGACTGTTCTGAAGCTGTGTACACTATCAGAAGTCCAGAAGTTGTGTGCACTATCAGAGATTTAAATTGTAAGCTGCAATATTGTTTTGTAGGGTTTGTATTCGGTCATTGTCGCGCCAATGTTCAGCAGCACACTTTTATACTGCAGAGTTTTGTTTGCATCAGCAGATTTCTTCCTTACAGATTTAATTATTCATTCATTCATTGTGTCTACCCCAACTTGTTTGGCTTTGTTGTTGTTGATTCATTCATTGTGTCAATTTGCGCTTGCTTATGTAGTTTAAATATTTCTCATGTCAATTTGGGACTATTGTTACAAAAGATTATGTCTTTGCAATTGTGCAAGTGCTAATCAGCAATCAAGTATAAAAGCAATCACTTGTGTGACTGATCTCTGCAAAGAATTCTGGCAGTTCTAGTGACCTCAACAAAAGAGATGGTCATGCATACATGATACATATCTGGTATAGGGTATATAAATTAGTGGGTCAAGATTCAACAAGACCCGTTCAGCTCAAGATGGAACATTTCACGTACTATCAGGCTTCAGATCAATTAACCATGCTTCAGACAAGAAAAATAATTGTTGTGACCAACTGATGAAGGAAGATCTGGTTGTTGCTATCATGCTATGTACTTTACATGTTCTGCTACTACCCTTCAGGGCAAGCTTGGGAGTGTAACTTCATCAAAGGAGAGAAAGCTGACCCGTCCATTATCCACATGACAATATTTCAGAGGGATGCCTCTGAAATTATTTTCCACCGCTTCCAATTCAACCCTTGAGGGTGGTTTACCCCTGCATTAGATTGGAAAAACAATACGTCAATGTCTTTCTTATGGGATTATATGTCGAATGTCGAAGTTGTTATAGAAACATGTATCAACAGAGTATATGAGATCATTCTTGATTCCTATGATGCTGGTTTTATTCATAAGCTTATCTCTTAGCAGTTTATCTCTTACACGACACTGTTCTTTGCAGTTTATCCCTTGACTTACATGACACTGTTCTTTTGCAGTTTATCTCTTAGCAGAAAATCTTAGACCCCTGTTCAGTTTAATCTATTTATTTCTTTTGGGGGGAAATGGTGAAAAATGGAAAGAAAATGTGATAAGTTGCAATTGACCAACACAAAGAGAATATGCAGGCAAGAAATGATGATTCATTATATAATTTGACAGCAACTTGGTAAGACAGAGTCCAATTAACTGAGAATCAATCAGGTTCAACTGAGTTATCAATTGAGTTCATTTAGCTAGCAGATGGGTGACCATTGCAAATAGATACATAAGCACAAGAAATCCATTTATATAGAGATGGATGCCAGCCACCCTTGGCCTCCATGAAACTTGGCCCATGTGTACCAGTGGGCACTCACATGTTCCAAAGAAGATATTATACTAACATTGTATATGCATTCATATTTACAGATAGATATTTCCACAATTAAAGAAAAGCCTGAAATGAAGATAGACCCTGTTACCCTACACTAAAATGCTGAAAGATCCACAGAAGATGAATTGAGGAAAAATGAAACTGCATTGAATCTATGAGCATAAAATTAACTGAGTCGATAAAGGCGTACTAATGTACTGTTACCTTAATAGACATAAGAGGAAACAAGGGGACCCTGGGGATGACTTTTTGAACTTGCTATTTGGTAGATAAACTTCAAAAGATGGAGATATCCCATCAATCTGCATTTTCTTGAGCAATTTGGTTATGTCACTGGAGACTCCGTCAACTCTATTTAAGCTCTGATCAGTCTCAAGTATATTCATCTGGGGAGCAATGGTGTCACAAGTACCACCATGCTTCATTGTCCAGGGAACACCAAACCTTCCAACAATATATCCAAGCGATTTCAAGTGCTTATAAGCCTGGAAGGTATCCCAGGAGCAACCATAATTTCCTCCAGCAAGCTTTTCATAGATGCCGTCAATTCCTATGGTTTCATCCTTATCATTGAGAAGAATCAAGGCACCTCTTTCAGCCAAGAACCTGCATGTTTTCATCAGACAATGAGCCTTCACTAGCAAACTCGAGTACTTGAAAATAAAGTCAACGGCAAGCAATTCATGCATAATACACCCAGTGCAGCATTTATGCTGGTCTGCTGGATGCACAGCACACCATGGCTATAGGGCCAGTACAATCAAATGCTGCACAGATACGACATTTCATCAAACAGTTGGCATACCCGATCTCCTCAATGTTGTAGTACAGCTTGCCGGCTCGAGTGACACCGGTGGTCAGCCACAGGTTGCCCCTGCTCTCCACCACCTCCGCAGCGCCGGTTTCCTCCACCCACCGCGCGCACGACGCCATATTCCTGTGCCCAGATCCGCAGAACCCAGCGAGGTTACAATCCCATGACGAGCCAACACAGACGGAAAAAGGCAGAGCATCTGCTAGCAAAACGAAGCACGCACCTGAACTGGACCCTTGAGGAGGCGGACGGCGCAGCGTCGAGGAAGGGGTTGAGGTGCTGCTCCTCGCCATCATCGATTCTAACGGCGTGGGCGGCGCCACCCGCCGGAGCACGGCTCCTTCTCCGTCGGTCACGCGCGGAGGCCGCGGCCGCCGCCATGATTATTTTTCACTTTTATTACCTCCACAGTTTTTTGGAAAATTTTCCCACTTTGAACTTGAACACTTCAGCTCCAGACGACGTGGCGGCGGATCTGCAGGAGTTGAGCTCGTGGCTAGGGTTGTTTCGCTGATGGGCTTGGGCTGGTCCGCCTCGTGGACTCGCCTGAAGTGGGCTTTGCTTTGCTCGACTACCCCACTTGCCAGGGACGCTAATAATCACATAAGTCACCGGAGAGTGGACCCAATAGAAAGGAAGCAGCGCTCCCTTCTTACCCCTCAAGTTCGGTCGCGGTTTCGGGTTTCCCCCTTCCCCTCTTCGAACGAACTCCTCCGTTCGATCGAACTCGGGGTCCAATTCGGCAGGTACGTGCGGATTTCTCGTCCCTCCCGATGCTTACGGTCTGTATTTGATCCGGGCCGCGTGGGTTGGCTACCGGTGTTGATTTGGCGAGGCAACCGCGGGGGAGGGAGGGGTTTCTGATTAATTTCGATCGCCGCGCCGCGCCGCCGATTCCCCCGGTCCTTAGGTCGATTTTTCTCATTTCTAGCAACGCCTCCCCACTGTTGATCGTTGTTGATTCGGTAGATCTTTGCTGGGAACCGTGATTTCGAGCTGTTAGTGTTGTTCGTCAATCCCCCCCCCTTTTACCATTGCTGCGGTTTCAATCTTCGTTATTACTTCCTTAGTGATTAGGCTGTTAGGGTTGGATGAGTGTCTTGGTTTTGCTTTTGAGGGAACAGTGTCTAGGTTTTGTTCTTATCGTGAAGTAAAAAGCTGTAGAGCAGTAGACTAGCAGATAAGGAACTAAACCATGTGCCCATGAATTTCAGGTTCATTGTGAAGTTGAGGTGAGTATAGGCACCAAAGAGAGCATGAGCACTGTCAGTGGTACAAGGCGTGCACCAAGGAGGCAGTCGCAAGATGGGTCTGCTGATAAAGTATTGGTGATCATCTAAGCAAGCTCCCGGGTGGTGGGGAGCCGTCGTGGACCACTGGCCCCTGTTCCTGGTGCCCGAAACTCACCCATTGACGTGGAGGCCAACGAAGATGAAGTTCAGGCAGTATCGCCCTCGCGAGTGCCCCCGCCAGTATAATTCTCTCATTATCTTGAATGTAAACAAGTACTGCACTTTTCAATAGTGTTGTTTGTTCTGCTAGTGTCATGCCTTTGGGTCTGTTGGTGATTTTTAAGGAGCAGCCTTTTAACAGGACTTCTCCAACTCTTTACTATTGTAGTTATTCCTGTTAAATAAGGATTTTTGTGAATGATAGTTGTGCTAATATGGTGCACCATCAGCTAGCACTTACATCAAAGCATATTGTATTCTGCAGAGGAGGAACAGGAGAACCAGGAGGGAACCTATAACAGTGGTTGACTTGGAGGTTGAAGCTAGACGGGAAGGTTAGTGTACTGTCTTCGTATCATTGTGCTTGTAGAATTGGTGTGGCCTTTGTAATGGTATTTGTTCATCAATGCAATATCAAATCACAATTAAATTCTTCAAAAGTTGTATATTCAACAACACAGACAATTTGGGTTAGTGCTTGCAATGTGCCTATGACTATATCTCAGATTACTCCATATTAGGACACAAGCTACTGCGATAGTGGTGACACATCTCTAGGCTGTGCTGGAAGTTATGCTCATATTTCTAATTTTCTAATTTCTTAATTGACTGGCTTCTATGATATTGCATGCTGCCTACATGAAAAATGTTTGTCAACTCATATCTTATTTCCTAGCTTCCTCTGTGATTTAAGACTCCTATCTGTTACCATGCATTCAGTCATATGTGTTTTGTGATGATGATGCATCTGTATCTTCTCCACAGGGAACAAACGCCAGAGGGTTGTACCAGTAGGACATCACCTCTCTCCAGATTGGGGAGCAGGGTCCAGCTTGCAGGTATTTATTTTATAGTAGTCTTGATTGAAGGGAATAACTTTTTCAACTTCAAAGCTAGGTTGATAGAAGACCTATCTGTGTACTTTCAGCTATTTAATGTGCATAAGGTTTCCTGTTAATGCTCAATCCTAACTTACATGTTCAACATTCCCATATAATGTTATTTATGTAACTTTGTCCTTTCAGTGGCTTGCTTTAAATTCATATTTTCCTTGGCCAACCAAGTCTTGGAACACATACTTACATATTATTATGGTGTGATATGGGTCTGTTCACGTTCTTGCTAGCTGCCAACCTTTAATATCTATGAATATCCAAATGCTGTCGTTGTAAACTTCTAGCATCATGTTATGTTCTGTAATGTAGGTGATATTAACTCACTGGCTTGCTATTTAGTATTTTGGAGTACATTTCGAAAATTTCAGCAAAAAGGCTGCCCTGTGTTTGATGCTTGCCCCAATTGCTTTTACATTGCTCTTCGCATTGAACTCTAACTACGAGTTTCTATTCGATAGTCAAATGCCGTACAAACCGGCAAAGAGCCTGCCAAGGAGGTTCCCAAGGAACCATTTTTTACCTGCCCAATATGTTGGAATAAGATGGAGGAGCCTTCCACAACGACCTGTGGCCATGTCTTCTGCGACACGTGCATCAAGCAGGCCATCAAGATTCAGAAGAAATGCCCTACTTGCAGGAAGGGGCTGAAAATGAATAGCGCTCATCGTATTTACCTTCTGAAGGCTTCTAGTTAAGGTGAGCTGCTTTACATATCTGATGGCTTGTAGTAAACTTTTGGGGCAATTAGCTTAACCTCTTTGTTATCTCCGATACAGGTCGATTGGCTTTGTCAAAGAAACTTCTGGTAACATAAGGCTGTGCAATGTACAGCTAGGATCAGAAGTTCTTAGGGTGAACAGCGGATAGATGTTTCATCCTAGTCTGTATCATTTAACTGCATCACCAAGAGCTCATCATGAAAACTTCCTGACTAGGGAAGTGGATATCAGCCTCAGTTTTACCCGCCTCTTATTGAATCCATGGTTCCAGAATGTTATTGTGTTGTCGTATGTATTAGGTTATTGCGCTAGTGGATTAGTGTAACTGGGATTTGCTTCATTCTAAAATGGTAATAGCCAGTTGAAATATTTTGCATTTTGGATGCTTTTGTTTGGTATTGTATACTCGTACTATTTCTGACCGCCTTCTCTGGCATCTAGAAAGATTTTGGCTGAGGTGTTGAGCTATTGTGGCCTCCTATCCACGGCTTACACCAATCCACTATGGAAATAACCTACAGTACATATCTGATGGTTTGTAAGTCTTTTGTCTGCTACTTCTGTCACTATGTGCTCCCCGCGTGCACACCGCCGGTGCTGGCGATGCAGATTTTAACAGCCAAAAGCCTGAAGATAACACAAACAGCCGGGTTTATCATCCATGATACAGTGTTTTTCTCTCACAACAAACCAGTATTAGCAAGACTTATCAGCCCAGAAACCAACCAGCGAACAGGCTGAAAGTAGCACCTTTCATATGAATGGATAACTCTGGAGCAATTACTACTTGAAATTCACTCCAGCGACATACACAAACAATTCCATTGGGGTTCTGCAAGTAGCACCTTTCATATGAATGGATAACCCTGGAGCAAATACTACTTGAAATTCACTCCAGCGACATACACAAACAATTCCATTGGGGTTCTGCAAGGGACTCTTGCATCGAATTTGTCAACAAGTAGTTCAACACGTCACAAGCGACAGTGCAGGCTGAGTACACACATGGTGGAAGTGTGATGTAGCTTACTACTAGTTTACACTCTTAAGAAAGCTTGAATAGACGCCAAATCTGAGTTAAGCCTTCGCCGGCAACTTGTTCATCACGGGGCTAATATTATCCTCAGGGATGCCCCTTTGAGGATCAATCTTGTAGGTGTCATAGAAGTCTAATATTTCCATAGAGATATTCTTAACCTGGGAATTGCAAGTCACAAAGTTGGGTGAAGAAAACAATACAGAATAAATAGCTGGGAAATCAACATTAGAACAGCTTACTATGTTCATGTCAACACGGAGCTCTTCAAACCATGCTGTGGTGTCCTTATCTTTCAGAACACTTGCTATGTATATGCAGGCCAGTGCAATCATGTAGGGGGGGTATATGAGGATAAGATCCATCTTGTATGTATCGTTAACAAGGCCCCTGCAAGTCATAAAAGGTTGTTTTTCTTCCACAAAAAAAAAAAAAAAAATGTAACAACAACCAACAGGTCTAGCTGAAGACTGAGCATACAATATCACCCATAATTAGATACTCATCCTAAAACTAACGCTAACAATTCTAGGTGAATCAATTTATGTTGTTGTGCCTAACCGTATCACACAAACGTTTGGCACAGGGCCAGCTCTGGCTCCTGCTGTGAAGCCATGCCAAACGGTGGGTGCCGAAATGGCTCTGGCGAAGAAGCCCAGAGGAGCCAGAGCCAAAAAAATGTGGCTCCCGACTCCTCACAAACTACCACTGGAGCCGTAAAAACAAAACAAAACAACAACAACAACAACAACACTAGAGCTGCTTTTGCCATTCGTTTTCCAAAACGACTTCAGCTCCACCAGAGAAGCAGCTCCACAAGAGGAGCCAGAGTTGAAGCCCTTTTAGGAGGAACCGGAGCCCTGCCAAATTGGGCCAAATTCAGAGGGAAGAGAAAGGAGACTCTGAAGAGCAATAAGTATTTGCTCCCAAGGGTATTCCATACCAAATGCAAAATACTTAGTCTTACTTAAACTATTGATGTCAATAAACCCTGCAAGGAATGAGGGTAGCTAGACTTGTTTACTCATGTGACAATGTTTCGAAAGTCCAAGTTTGGGCCAACAAAAACATCCAAGAGCCTAGGCTTCAGTTTCAATAGCATAAAATGCTTCAAGTAGCTTTCACAGAAATAGCAAGACACTGAAACTCAAAACACAGAGGGCTGAAAGTCCTAAGCAGAATAAAAGTTCCTTTTCCCCTTAACTGTTGACACTGAATCATGCTGTTGATAAAAGCAGTGCTTACCAGGCAAATTGTGTCAGATCTGTTATGCCAGCATCCTGCAATAACCTGCAGATAGGGCATGTATCAACTCGGAGTTCCACTAGAACAAATAACCGAAAGCTCGGGAGATATGAGAAAGGTATGTTCCACAAAAAACACCAGCGATTACACAGGAAACAGATTCTTACTGTAAGAGAGGACGATATGGATGGAAAACAACCAAATAATAGTCAAGAGCTTCCAGGAGCTTCATTTCCATTTCAAGAATATCCTTAATTTCAAACCGATACTTGTCATCGGAGCCTGCACTTTGAAGAGAGGGAGAGAGAGAGAAGGTCGTCTACTGCAGTTTTTCCATGTAAATATGGCAATAAACATGGTTATAAGACATACCACACATCTTTTTTATGTAAAAGACAAGAAGCCGGGCTTGTACTGTGCTCTCCTCCACCTTAGATGCCAAATACAAACAGGTAGGTGCAATCAAACGAGGATCATAGTCTGACATGCTCTTCCTGGGAACAAATTTCATGTTAGAACAACGGGAGAATTGGTTCTGTAGCATCAAAAGATCACAAGAATCGGAAAATACCACTGAAAAAGCTCTGTCACGTGAAATACCATCGAAAGATGTAAGCGTTAACCGAAATTAGCATTCCGTCACGTTCAGTCAATTTTGGGGTAACGGCCGTCATCTCCACCCGCACGAGCATACGCTGTGATGCGCCCTTCTTCCTCCTCCGTCCATTTGCTACCCATGCTCGCCAGCTGTGAGCAGTGTCGCCTCACCGCGCCACCGTCTGCACGCCCGCGAGCACCGTGCCGCACCGCCATCCACATGTCGTCCGCGAGGAGCTGGAGGTCGCCGGAGTCGAGGAACCACGTGGTACTCCAGGGATGCTATGCTGCACGCGCTACTCGCTCCAGCTCCTCCAACCCCATCCCTCCTTCCCCGGTGGTGCCACCTGCTCTTGCTCATGCTCCCTGCCTTCTTCCTCCTCCGGCAACCAGCACCAGAGGCTCCATCCGCCAGCCGCCCTGTCCCCAGCTACTTCCCGTTCCACCCCGCCACTCACCCACACGCCTGACCATGACGAAGATGGCGCCTCCGATGACGCCCTCCTGGCGCTCCTCCGCGCCCATGACACCGATGCCGCCTACAACCTCTTCTCCTCGAAGCCTTCGCCTCCTTCCTCCCCACCACGGCCTCTCGCCGCCTCCATGCAGCTCTCCTTCAATTCCAACGGCCCCAATAAGTTCTCCCGCCGCCCGCCTCCTCCAGAGCCTCCGCGCCCATGGCGCGCTCGACCTCCTCGACGCTAACTCCCTCTCCTCACGGCCATGGCGGCAGCCTTCGCCTCCATGACGCCCGCCTCGCCCACTCCTCCTCCTCTACATGCTTCGTCAGGCCTCCTCCCGACCGACGCACAGACACCACCGCTGCCGCCCGCCGCCACGCCGCCCACCAAGGTGCTCCGCCTCTTAGCCGTGTCCTCCGCCACCTCGGTCGCACGCCACCAGAGCTCATCTACCCCTCCGCCTCCCCGACGCGGCCAGATTCAACGCAGGCGGCCAATACTTCAAGGCTGACGCTGGGATCGCCGCCGATTCCGGCAAATTGTTCGACGAATGAGCAAATGGGCGCCGCCGCCGATCGATCACCGACAACGTCGTCATCAAGATGTCTTGCGCGCGTACCGAAAGGACCTCGTGCTGGCGTGCTTGAGCGCATGCTCTCCTCCGCCTCGCCCTGCTGCCACCACTTTCCACTCCCTCGTCGCCTCATTCGCTTCGGCCGGTGACATCACCACGGGCGGAGAGGATCGTGCAGCGATCGCGGGAAGAGCGCAAAGACATATGCTCATCGCTTTCAGGTATTGTCGCTATGGATTGATGATTGCGATCGACGTCGAGGAGGGTGCTGTGTTCTTTGGACGACATTGTTGCCGGGCCAAACAGGACGAGGCTCGAGATGAGGTGCCGCGGCTCCCCAAGGCTTATCCGCCCAACGCCGTGGTGTACACCACGTTGATGAAGGGATACATGAGCGCGCAGCGCGCCGACGATGTCGTGGCCGTCTTTGTTGCTTGCGATGAGCGCGACAAGAGGCGCCGACGGTAGCATTCGCAAGCCGGCGGACCATGTGACTTACACGACGGTGATATCGGCGCTTGTCGGTGCGGGCGATGTATAGCAAGCAAGACGCCGTCTTCGGGCGAGATGGCGCGGCGGAGTTCCGACCAACCGTGTCACCTACAACGTCCGCTCAAGGGTATCGCCAAGAATTGCAGATCGCAAGGCCGGGGAGCTCTTTGAGGAGATGGTGAGCGAGACGCCGGCATCCGGCCCGGCGTGGTGACATACAACACCCTCATGGGCCGGGTGCGTGTTTCGGCGATGATGATAGTACGGGCGCGCTTAGCCTTCTTCAACGAGATGCGGTCACGGGGCATCGCGCCATCCACGATGAGCTGAGCTACACGACGCCGATGAAGGCGTCATTTTGTGTCGGGCAGCCCAAGGTGGCGCACAAGGTGTTCGAGGAGATGGAGCGGGACCCTGTGGTGACGGTGATGGGCGGTGGCGTGGAACATGCTCGTGGAGGGGTACTGCCAGCTGGGGCTGGTGGAGACGGCGAAGCAGGTGGTAGAGAGGATGAAGGAACGCGGCGTGCAGCCGGACGTGGCGACGTACGGCAGCCTGGCGAAGGGCATCGCGATGGCGCGCAAGCCAGGGGAGGAAGAAGGGCGCATCACAGCGCATGCTCGTGCGGGTGGAGATGACGGCCGTTACCCCAAAATTGACTGAACGTGACGAAATGCTAATTTCGGTTAACGCTTACATCTTTCGATGGTATTTCACGTGACAGAGCTTTTTCAGTGGTATTTTCCGATTCTCGTGATCTTTTGATGCTATAGAACCAATTCTCCCAACAACAAAATTCTCACTACGAAATATACCCATCCAAACAATTCAAGGCCCCACTAGAAAAGATAATTCAATGTTTTTCAGGAGAATATATAGAAACAAGTGATAAAATATGGATATATTTAGCCCAGCTAATGATGGCAGAAGATTAGGTATCAGACATGGTTTTCATATTTCAAGTTAAACAGTTTTAAGAGGTGAGCACAACCATAATAGAGGACAGTTGAAAAAAATTAGGAAACAATTCTACAAATCTTGTAATAACACTATGTTTAAGGTCACCAGTTGAATTTAGAAGTGATAATTCTACAATGCATACGAACACAGATGCACATGCAGTGTATCCTCCTTACATAGAGAAGCATACCTTGTATACACACGCCTGAAGTAAGTGACTGCTGTAGCTATAACCCTGAAATAACAACAGTTTAAGGTCACAAAGATCGCGTCTTGGCAGACAAGCTAAAGACGGGATATAACATGCATGTTTATGTGAAAACTTCATTCGCTGAGACTTGAGATGCACTCAATATTACTTTTTACAGTAATCCTGTAAGTACTGTTGCACTCATATGGTTGATGAGCATACGGTAACATAAGAATTATATTTGAGAAGCTCATCTTTCTCTTAATGATGCCAGAGTTTGATTATTGCAGCTGGAGTACGAACATCAGGGACAAAATGATGGGGGAGGAACAAACACTAAGGTGGCGTTTGGATGCACCATGGGTTTGTTGGACTGGGAGTGGGATATAAAAAAGGTGGGTTTTGAGAAGGATGGTATCCCGTCCTTTTCCAAGGTTCTGCACTGGGTTTTTGGATTGGGGAAAATCTTTAATAATAAAGATGCTCCTCATTAGTCAGAAAGAAAATTCAAGTTTAAGTATGACCACAGCAAAACAAATCTCGTTCGAAAATCTGAAGATTCTCTTCATGACATCTCTGAAGCTTTCTTCAACCTGGTACTGCAGAGAATTGCCCCAAAGAAGAAGAATACAGAAAAGAAGTGACAAAACAAGTAAACCTAGATCCAACCGAAGTTGCATCCCCAGTAATTAAACATCTGAATGTGCTGATTTTCAGTTAATAAACCAACAACCTATATGATGTGTTTTTTAATTCTTTTAGCATCTATATAAGTTACAAGATGTAGAAGGAAAAATGCCAAGTGCAAAATATAGTAAGAAATCAAGATGACAAACAAGTTTCTTTTATCAGTACAAAAGAAGCAAATAAATCAGGTTATTCAAACAAGGCCTAACCTTTGCCTAACTTTAACCTGCTGTGCTAGCCTCCAGATATCTGAAATCATCAAATGCTTGTATTGGTAAGGCATCCAAGAAGACACAAGGTTTTGTAATGCAAAATGGACATCAATCAACTCTATGTGAATATGAGAGATACTATAACTGATGTAAATGTATGGAAATGAACTATGTGATTGGTTTCCTTAAAACCATGGAGTCTCATTTAGCGATAAACTAATATTATGAATTAAGATTGCGCCGAATTTATAAAAGCGAGGATTGCAAAATTTCCCATCACCAAAATGGTATAACATAAACAAGGACATGAACTTGTTTGTTTGAAATCAGTAGAGTAAAAACAAGGAGCAAACCATCGTATTTTCTCTCTTTCTCAACTGAAATGGCAGGCAGGCGTTTGACCTTAGCGTCACATAAAATTGCATGATACAAAGGCACATAGCACAGGATGCCCATGGGTATAACTACATATACACCAAGTTATTTGTCACAGTAGCGGAAAACTGGCAATCGTTTGAACATTAGATCAGTCTACATTTGATACGCCTAAGGCCATAAAAGATTAGCAGTTCTAACATCTTACAGCGCACGCTGAGTTTGGTATGACTTTTTTAGTACGCTATACAGAAGCAGGCTAAAATACAAAGCTGGTTCACATGGGGGAAAATGCTCGAGCAAGGTGTCAGGAAAAGAGGAGGGAGGATAGGAGCTCACGGAACGACATATGGATCTTGATGAAGCGGAACTCCTCCGGCGTGATGCCCCGCTCCCGGTCCGCCGCCGGCACCAGGTCCACATCCTCGGGGTCCAGCAGCTGCTTGCTGCACATCCCAGCAACAACAGCAGCACCGCGCCCTAATCAGCCGCTGAGCTCACTGCGGAGCCACCGAATCGAAAGGAGCGAACCGGGAGGAACGGTCGACGAGGCCGGGAGGCTTACCAGTGCGACGACGTCCAGAAGTTGGCGGCCATCCTGGACCCGCGATCCCGGCGAGCCTGCGGAGACTCTCGCCGGCCGAATCGGTGGAGGGGAAATCCAGGAGGAGGGAACCGCCGGCGACTCTCAGCCCGATTGATTGCTAAGGAAAGCAGAAGCAGCAGAACCATCAATTGGTCAGGCCGGCCCAGCAGCCAGCGATTTGGGCCGCCTCGAGGCTTCCGAAGCCCGGATTGCGCTACTGGGCCTGCTGAGGCCAGGCGTATGCAGTCGCGTATGGTGTACGTGACACACTATTGAACTCGCACCGGTGCACATGCACGCAGCCTGTACTGTACCTCGAGACAGGTAGAAGGACGGCGTCGGTTTGTACGTCGTCCTTGGCTGGCTCAAAATAATTCAGCCCGACGGCGACGAACTGACACGCACATACTGTCTCGCGCAAGAACGCGACCAGAATTAAGAGATGGGGATGGATTGGAACGATCGCACCACAGAAACGCCCTGCAGTCACAGCTGCATCGATCCAGCTTGACGTCTCAACCACCGTGGCTGTTGCATGCATGCATGCATGGCATGGCT